TGCCTCTCCAAGTCAGCCCTTTTTACTCGACACAAACGCGCAAGATTTACCCACCTTTTGCCAAACTCTGATAGAGGGAGGCACCGCCTTTCCGTCCTAATCTTAACTTTAAGTTGATGCTTAAAGTACAAGATCAGTTGGGAAGAAGTGAACTTTTCACTCCTATAGAATTCCTTCTGACGCGTCATCCAAATCGCGACTCTCATAACACCGAGTAAGCAAAAGAACAGTGTTCAACCTTCGTCAACAGCGGTACGACATTATTACAGACTGAACTGGCCTCAAGGACAAAGAACTTTCCGCGCAGTATGCGAACCATGATGCCTTCAATAAATTTGCACAAAGGGACTACGAGCTTGCAATGAAAGAAAACGTGACCCAGGGTCTCCACCTCTCCATCACAGGGAACGCAGTTTGGAGATTTCTCCAAGCACGCCGGACAAAGTCTTTTGCCAACACAGAGGATCCTACAAATCACAAGCCATATGAGTGATGCAACATTGTTATTGAGGCATTTCAACCCGGACGTCCAAGGCCATATTGAGCGAGCCTCCTGTTTCGTAAGACCGAGCTCCTCTATTAGATCATCTCGTACGGATCCTCTAACACATGATATAATTTCCTTCGACGTTGGAGAGGCCACCCGACGCCCGTATGAGGTGTTTCAGAGCAATGCGACATTCACGATAGGAGTACTCGTCTTGGGATAAACTGGGAGCCTCCTCCGCATACGAGTGCACACTTCTCAGGGATGGGATGTTCTTAGGGGCGCCTTCCTTCCAGAATTCACACGTTCGATCTAGAAACGCGATGTGAAGCGTATGTCAATCTCAATGTTAGGCATACCCAGACCGCTTTCAAAAAGCTGGGGGTAACAGATCTCCCAAAGTATCTTAGCGGCCTTGCCTCTTTACAAGAAGGAGAACAAGAGCCTTACTAATGACATTAATATAGCATACGGAAGCAGAAGCACAAAGAGTCGGTAAAGGAGAATCGGGTAGATACTTCCGCTTTCCTCTTTAAGGAAAGATTCCTCCTAGACCACAGATTAACTGCAGCCTCTGACTTCCGACCAATTCATTTCCAACAGGAGATCGAGACCGAACCAGACGTACCATAACTAGGAGATCATCTGAACAATTAACATGAAAGTATTTATAGAATAGGGAAGCAATATTACGGCGGTGGGGAAGTGACTGAAGCCGAAATGCCTGATTAGGACCAATGATATTGCCGATTCTTCTTTGGATTTTAGAAAGAATTTCTAAATATACAGACCATATGTGGCAGCAATATTCTAAGCATGGACGAATGGTAAACATAGATATGTAAGATAGATTCTGGAGAGAAAAATTGTCTAGCACGACAGAAGGAACCAACTTTCTTAACAGCACACCTAGCAATGGATTCAATATAATCTTTTCACTTCATGTCAGCCGAGAACGTTAGAAAGCACAACGTGTCACTTTCCTGGAGGTTAGCATCGGCCATGCTGATGTAAGGCATAAAGAAGTCTCTCAGATGATTAACTAGATTGATTTTCTCTAAATATCCACAAAAACTGAAACTATAATTGCAAATCGGAGATACCAAAATCAAACAAGCGCAGAAATTTAAATATCTGGGAAGTCTTTTAACAGTGGACGGAAAATGTGACACTGAAATCCGAAGGCGTATTAGGACAGCTAAGGATGCATTCTAAAAGTTAAGCAGAGTATTAAGAAATAGAAAAAACTTCTATAGAAACAAAGAAAAGAATATTAAACTGTTACGTGATATCTGTCCTTCTGTATGGCAGTGAGTGCTGGACAATCTCCTCAATGAAGAAGAGACTTGACGCAACAGAAATTTGGTTCTACGGAAGGATGCTGAGTATACCATGGTCCAAATATGTGAACAACGACGAAGTTTTAGAGAAAATGAAAATAAAAAGGAAACTTATACTTGACATCAGGAAGAGACTGTTGAGATTTTTAGGGCACATAACGAGGAAAGAGGGTTTGGAAAATTTGACACTCACAGGACATACTGAAAGCAAGATGAACAGAGAAAAACAGCGCATAACTGACTTAACGAGCTTGTGTAAATGGATGACAAAACCAGATGTAGGAGAGATTTCAAAAAGACAAAATTTACTAAGACCTACAAAGGGCAGAAAATTGTGGAGTGCCATGATTTTCAACGTCCTGATATAGCACATAGAAGATTCTAAAGTTTGTTTTTGTGGGTCTCTTTCTTAATATTCATAATGGTCTAATTTGGATCTTGTCTGACTTAACGTATATTTTTTCTTTTAACCAAGCAAGGCAATAATGCCACTAAGACGCAAAGAGCTACTGGGTGTGAAAGAGAATGAAAAGACTTTAAAAGAAACCCAATCCTAAAGAGGAAACAAAGGATAAACCTGTACCATTGTTCAAAAGACAGGGAAAGAGTGTGAACCGGACGATAGGCGAACCTATCTACACCCTTAGAGGTAAAAATTAGTAAATGAAATTTTAGAATTCAGGCGGAGACGTTAGAAGTATAGAGTTGAAATAGAATTTAGAAGGAACCGGAAACCCCATCCTAAAAAGGAAACAAGAGATAAACCATGATAAATTCTCCTGTTCAAAAGACAGGCAAATAGTGTGGATCAGAAGATAGGTGATCCTATCTACTCTTATTAATGAAAAAAAGTAAGTAAAATTTCAGAATTTAGGCAGATACGTTAGAAATATTTTAACATTGTAACAAAGGATAAATAAAAAAATGATTACAAAAGAATTAACACCTATAGAATTACAAAATGTATTTGGATGTTTGACTTGAGAAAGAGAGGAACTATATGTTAAGACTAGGGTAGTGGCATCGTTTTTTCTATCTTTTTGTAAAATTAATTAAAATTATTCAAAAGACGTGACGCAAAAGGCAATTATCTCCCTTTTTACAGAACGAATTTACTAACGCCCTAAAGTGCTGTAACGGTCATGTAATAACGAGAAGTAACGATAGTCCGTGGCAAACGATATGCAGAGGCTAAATGGGTTCCTAACAGAGATAGATGTAGTAATCAGCGGCAATTCGGCAAATAGGATATGTCCTAAATAGAAGCACAAAATATATAACCTGGGCTGACCTTGTTCATCCTAGAAACGTTAGGTAAAGCCTTCTTTATGTTCGTCTTTTCACACCTTCCTTGCTTTCTGCATATGTGCTTTTTCATATTTTGTTGTGTTGGACAAATTATGACGAACATATATATGTATTTCTATAATGTATTTTTGGATGACATATACTAAGGTAGTGCATAAACACTTTTCAGTCACAATTTCTTTTTTTAAAATTAATTTCATTGTGTTATTTTAGTCTTTCGTCATGTTATGGTGTTAATATATCGCGGTTATAATAATGCCTAATGTGGGCATTGAAGTGTGGAGAAAAGTAAGATATTTGATTTCTCTTACCAAGCAAATCCCTTTCCCTTTATAAAGACAGTTTTTGTTCAACTGGTTCGATTTAAAAGTGTTAAAGGCATATACGCCCTACTAGGATATCTAGAAAGATTCGAAAAATAAAAACTTATGCTATGAAAACAGAAAAATAGGAGAAAGTTTTGTTTGCATAAACAAGATCTTATCAATACATGATTGGCTGAAATTAATCAGATAAATCGCAAAATAAATGACGCTTGTGATAGGACAGGTGTTGATTCAGAAGGCAACTATTTTCTGGCAGACGAGAACATTAATTTATATATATATTATGAAGTGGACAAAGTCCGACAATTATTTTAAGACATTTTTTATGTTTATACGTTCTTTTTATAGATACAAATATTTAAGTAAATGCTCTGTTTATAATAAACAGTATTAACAACATTAAAAGCACGTCAGGTTATATGACAGTTCTGTATAGGATACAGGTTCGATTCCTGTCGGAGGACGCATATTTTCTATGAAAATTTCTATGTAACTGCACACTAATTCCATTTAGTATTTAACAAAGCGAGAAAATCGCACTACATAAGCAAAACTCTTGCTAATTTTAAAGTTTAGTTACCTTTAGTACCTGCAACGGAAGCCAGTTTAATCATCAGTCCTCAGTGCTGTCAAATTTCTTTTGCGTTCTTCACAATGCCAGTATATGGCAAGCCATTGATCGACTAATGATTCACTAATTGACAGGTTTTTCACACAAAGTATTGGGGCTTGATTAAACTTATTGGCGGGCCGGGGGGTGCCGGACCCTGCTATAGAATAAAATCTTTAGTAAGTCAAAGTCCTTCGCCAGATTTTCCCAACATTATTTTTAATTCGCGAAAATCTCAACTTCCGTGTTAACTTTCCTATTACAGGCACGCTTATCCATTATCGCCCAAAGTTTTTCAATTGGGTTAAGGTCAGGAATAGAATTTAGTCTATAGCATGCCACGAAGAATTAAGGCCATTATTAAGGCAAAAGGTTACCCAACAAAATACTAAATCATTTTTGACTTGTATCATGTACATATGTACACCTGTATTAATACCCTGTATTAATAAATGAATTCTATTATGTCTCTTGATAAAAATAAAAAAAATCGACTTTCTATAGGTGCGTCCATTTTTTGCCTCGTACTGTGTGTGTATATATATATATATATATATATATATATATATATATATATATATATAATTAATGTTCTTATCTGCCACAATTTTATTAAACCTTCATTAGAAAATGAAATTATATTTAATTGCGTAATTGATCTGGTTTTTACGGCTTATCAACCTTTTGCTTGTTATTTAAAGCCAGAAAATATTTTTCAATTGTAAAATTTTTGGGGAAATAATAATGATTTGTTGATACCAGATTTAGCAATTAACCCATAGCTAAGGAAGCAGAAGTGGATTCATGCCTTTCCCAAGGGTATTTGCGCGTAAGCGAATATAACGAACCCGACTGGAATTGGAACTCGGCTCCCCGATTTTCAATTCCAAACCGTTATCCATTACGTCTAACCGCACATTGAAGCTTAGAACAGCTGGTATTCCCAAGCGGTCACCCATTTAGGTACTGACCAGACTCGATGTTGCTTAACTACGGCGATCGTACGAGAACAGGTGTTTTAATTTGATATGGGCATATGCCCAGTGGAGACAGAGATATTTTTCGAATAAGTGATTTTAAAAAAATAAAAAGCGTTAAATCTATTCTTATTGCTGTAGAATCTGAAACGAAAATGTTTTTTTTTTTTTTGAGGTGGTGGGGATCAAGAATATGAAATTGGAGGAGGCTGTACTGGATATTAAAGTTAATAAGGGCCATCGTTTTCCCCCACCTGTTCTAATGGATGACGAAGGTGGCACAAGTTTCAAATTCAAAGATTTCAAAAACGTAAAAAAAAACAAAAACATTTCGACAGATTTAGATTATTAACATTGGCTAATGACAGTAAGATCCATGTCGACGGCCTCATAGGTTTAGGCACATTAGAAGATAGGAAAATAGTCGATTGCATGCCGGGATTGGGATGAGCGCTACCTGCAGGAATCGGGATGAGCGTTACCTGCAGGAATCGGTATGAACGTTATCTGTAGGAATCAGTATGAGCGTTACCTGCAGGAATCGGCATAGACGTTTCCTGTTGGCAGTGCTTCTTTGGGTAACAGCCGTCATTTCTTACAAGAAGATCGGATTACTTTGGTAAGAGTTAAATAAAAATATTTTAAGAATAATTATCACATTATTGTTTCCAGATAAATATAAAGAATGGAGCGCTTATCTGAACATTTGTCATGAAAATTTGCGACGTTGCGTCTGTAAGGAAAGAAGCTGCAGGGTGGGAGTATTTGGGACCAAATCTATAAAAAATGTTTGATATTAATTATCTCGGTTTATCAATGTCCTTTTATCTTATCCCTGTTCAGAGTTTTATCGAAATTACATCAAATCGTCAGGAAACTTGATTTTAAGACTTTTAATGAATTATCTGCGAGTAAGGTGATAATGCCACTAGTACGCGGTGGGGGGGGTGTAGAAAGAGTGAAAGAGAATGAGAAGACTATTAAGGAACAGAGATCAGGAAGACAGAAGATGGCGATTGACATTACATTTAATTTTTTGAAAACTGTAAGTTGCTGGGAAGCAAGAAATAGGAAGGGTGTTCTACAGGCGAGAAGTACGAGAAAAGAAACTATTAGAATAGAACTGAAGCTTAAATTCCTGCTATTGAGAAGAACTAAGAAGAGCAGTGCATCAGAACAATTGCCCTGAAAATATTTGTAGAAAAGACAGAGGGAAGCCACGTCACGACGGTGAGAAAATGACTGAAGTCGAGACGTCAGGTAAGGATGGATTATATTAGACTCTTTGAATTTGGTCAAGAATCTCGAGATATATAGTAGACCAACCCAGATATAGCAGCAACGTAGGGATGAATGATAGATTTATAAATATGCAAGATGGATTCTGACGACACAAAGAACTAACTTTCCTAGCGACAATTCGAGCAATTGATTCAAAATAATCACTCCACTACATGTTGATGGAAAACGTGAGCCCAAGAAGGCGCAAAGTGTAGCGAGGAATTTATTGTAAAATCTAGGAAGAACAGGGGACAGATAAGGAGCACATATTTTAAGAAAACTGCAGGGAAAAAATACCGTCGAATCCGAAAACATTGCGAGGATCTTCTTTAGACATGATAACAGAAGCTATGGATGGAGTTATGTGCATATCACTCAGTAGAGATTCGGTTCTAGGAGGAAGATCAGGCAGAGATACACCAGGTGAGTCGACAGTGGAGTTGGAAGAGAATTTCCGAGCTAAGCACTCTGCTTAATCTGCAGTAGATGACTGCACTTTAAATTGACTGAAGAAAGAAAGGACTGAAAATTTGATCTTGTTCATTACACTCTTGTAGAGCCGCCAGTAATCTTTAGAACCAAACGTGAGGGGTTATACGATGTCTAATTCTATCAGCGAATTGTGACTTTACATCTTTGAGGACACGCTTACACTCATTACGAGCGGTGACAAAGAGATGTCTGTTACAATCAGACTTGCCGCATATAGCCGGAAAAAGTGATTTCTGTGGGCTATAGCGGCTGAACAGAAAGAAGAGAAACAAAGAAAAGATTATGGTTTCACTTGATATTTCTGTGTTGGCACGAAAACTTCGATGCTGGCTTTCATCCAGGAAGAGGCTTCAGTTACTCATTTCTCAACAGGATGATTTAAAAAGAAAAAGAATTGATCTCTGTGGGCTATAGCGGCTGAACAGACAGAAGAGAAACAATGAGAAGATCAAGGTTTCACTTGATATTTCCGTGTTGGCACGACAGTTTCGATGCTAGATTTCACCCAGGAAGAGACCTCAGTTGCACATTTATCAAAAGGGTGAATAAAAATATAATTCTAAGAAGCATCGCAAAGAAAGTCACGAAATGAGTCGCAATCAGTGCATTGATAACATTGATAACAAAAATATGTTCTGCTGAGCGTAGATCGGAAAGAGATATCTATAGACACTACTGCCTGATCGAAGTTTCCAAGAGGACAGAGCTGCAGTGCACGACATGAGTCCGGGGAGGTAAGGAAGAGATCAAGTAGAGAAGTATGTTCGTCAGAGTTACTAGGGAAAATACGTGGGGAAGTCGACTATTTGAATGAGAGACTGAGCGATTAGGAAATTCAGTCTAGATACTAGCGAGGTCAGGGGCGTTAGAGCGATAAAGCCACTTGATATGGTGAGCACTGAAGTTGCCGAACACAAAGATATCATCAGACGAATGTAGAGAGAGAAGGCCTTATCTATGGTATCAGAAATTCTATCTAGCCAGCAAAAGACATGAGAAGAATGAAACAATAAAGAATGAAGAGATAACTGTCTGAGTTTACTAGTGAAAGTCGGACGTAAGAACAATCCGGAGACTCAAGAGACAGTTCCCTATTTTTCAATCATAGAATGAAGACTTTACTAAGAGCTACAAAGGATGGGAAATTTTGAAGAGACATAATTACCCACGTCTTGAAGGGACACGGCACATAGAAAATGGGGGTTACTTAGAACATTTGGGTATATATTCAACGACATTTTGAGTTAACTGAACTCATACCTTATATATATATATATATATATATATATATATATATATATATATATATATACATACAAGTGTAACTCGGATATAAGAGAGTTGTCGGGACCGGAGAAGAAGTCTCTTATATCCGGGTTTCTCTTATATCCGGGTTTGTTCTATTTTATATACATTAACACAGGCTCTAATTTGAGACCAGAGAAAATCTCTCTTATATCCGGGTTTCTCTTATATCCGGGTCTCTTATATCCTGGTTACACTGTATTATATATATATATATATATATAAAATTCTTTTTAAGCTCCTACATTTCAACGATAAAAACTTCTCAAAATTACAAACAATATGGCAATTATATATATATATATATATATATATATATATATATATATATATAGATAGATAGATAGATAGATAGATAGATAGATAATATTAGTGGTCAATATATATATATATATATATATATATTGAAAATATATAAATATATATAAATTTATTTATATATATAAATTCCCAAGTGGATAGAATGCAGGTAGAACTCAAGGTCCAGATCAGAGGAAGAATATAATATAAAAGGCTCAACCATTAATATACTATGGAATATTAGTATTTGAGCCGTTCATATATATATATATATATATATATATATATATATATATATATATATATATATATATAGATAGATAGATAGATAGATAGATAATATTAGTGGTCAATATATATATATATATATATATATATATATATATACATATATTGAAAATATATAAATATATATAAATTTATTTATATATATAAATTCCCAAGTGGATAGAATCCAGGTAGAACTCAAGGTCCAGATCAGAGGAAGAATATAATATAAAAGGCTCAACCATTAATATACGATGGAATATTAGTATTTGAGCTGTTCATATATATATATATATATATATATATATATATATATATATATATATATATATATATATATATATATATATAAGTTTGGTTTTAGACGCATTGAATGTAACCAGCCAGTTTTTTCCCCCGCTCGGAAGTTAGTGTTGGATCGGAAGAGAGGTCAGAGGCCAATTTCTGATCCTCAAGACTTTTAGAGGTACCCTCGAATATCGTCATATCATCGGCGTAGACATTTATAAATGATTGGAGTATATTCTTAGGTAGATCATTTATGTAAATTAGAAAAGCGTTGGTCCGAGAAGTGACCCTTGAGGGACTTCTGCGTTGACCGCCAGGGCCTCGGATGACTGGCCGTTAATAACTACCTTCAAGGGATCTACCTGTTAAGAAGGATTTTATAATAGAGAAAACCCTCCCAGTGATTCCATAGCTAGAGCTTGTGTAGCAAACCTTTGTGTCCCACTATCTATCTATCTATCTATCTATCTATCTATCTATCCATACATACATACATACATACATACATAGATATATACTTAATATATAATAATAATACTTAATCTATCTATAACAATAATATTAATTTCTATCTATCTATCTATCTACGTATCACAATAATATTAATTTCTATCTATCTATCTACGTATCACAATAATATTAATTTCTATCTATCTATCTATCTACGTATCACAATAATATTAATTTCTATCTATCTATTTACCGCAATAATATTGATTTGTATCTATCTATCTATCTATCTATTACAATAATATTAATTTCTATCTATCCATTTACGACAGTAATATTGATTTGTATCTATCTAGCTATCACAATAATATTAATTTCTATCTATTTACCACAGTAATATTGATTTGTATGTATGTATGTATGTATGTATGTATGTATCTATCTATCTATCTATCTATCTATCTATCTATCTATCTATCTCAGTATATTCATTATCTATCATACAATTTCTATTTTCTCAAGAGGGAATGAAAAATGATCTTGTAACGTAAAGTGAACTCGTCAAAGTCAGAAAATCTATGTTGAATCCATTTACGTAAAGAAAGGTCAAGAACTGCGTCAGAAATAACGAACGTTCCCGATGTTTCTTGTTTCGCCAACAAACAATGTACACGCC